GTTATTGTATATAGTTACAAGAATCTTAATAAAGTACTAGCGTGGCTGCTTAAGAGCAAAAAAAAAAAAAAAAAAAATAAAAAAATAAAAAAATAAGAAAAAATTTATTTGATGCCTAAGGCAAATTGTCTGTATATATATATTAATTGTAATACTGCATATATTGGTCATAAAACTGCATATTTTAACTAAATGAATATGTAATTTTATGTTATATACTAGTTGGCTTATATGGAATTTATATACTATTACATATTAATTTCTTTTTATATAATTATTTATTAGTAATATATTTAGAACTGTTTGAATGCAAAAATTTGATCATACACAGTTAACCTTGTATCTATAGCAGAAACTATTAATATTATATATATATTAAAATTAATAAGAGATTATATCTATTACAATTAAATCTAACATAAATAATGTAATTTGTAATTGATTATGGGTAAGAGAAATTTACTTTTAATTAGGCACTGTTTTTGCTGTATCTTGTATCTAAAAATTTTTTACTTTAAGAACTACTAGTTTATTATAGTATTGTTATATATATATATTTTTTAAGACTTTTAGAAAAGTGTTCATTGATTTTTGCATTACAATTATGAAATACTTTATCAGAAGTATATATTAACAGTTGAAAGTATATAGTAATTGTGAGTTATTTTACTGAAAATAGTTGTTAAATATTTTTTTTTATAATATACAGTAAGTAAATTGAGTTTATAGAATTACTAACATGTAAGAAATCACAACTAATTCTTTATTTTTAAAGGTAGTCTTTATTTATCTATATATCTTCATTTTGTTATAAATAAGACTATAAATACTATTGATAATAATAATAAAACTATACTTAATACAGACTTTTTAAATAAACTTTTGAATAATGAATCTTACAAACCTAATATTGAATCTGTGAAAACCAATTTTGAATATAATGATGAAAGTAATGCTAAAAGTAGTAGCTGGAATTCAGATAAAGATATTTTATTAATAGAACCTTTACAATTACATACTAGGATAATATTTTTTTTATAGACTATTATTAATAGATTAATAAAAATTTTTGTATATTATAATAGTTTTAGTATTTAAAAATATCATTCTGAAAAATTGGATAGAAAATATGTTAGACAAATATATTTGTGCTGACATTCCTCTGTGTATAAACCTATAAAAAACAAAAACTCAGAAAAACAAAAAAATAAAAATTCTGCTTGAGTTAATTGTTCTTGAAAAATTCATATTCAATATCAAATAAACAGTTATAACTTAAAAGTTTTCTTATTTGATAGTAATTATGAAATTCATACTTTAGATCTAGTAAATTAACAATTTGCATCTCAATATCAACAATTAACTTAGGCACTTCTTAAAAACATTAAATTTTATATTCAAGAAGGTTATCTAGAAGCAATTGACCAATATTGTCTATTAAAGGCTTTATATTCTCATTATACTTTACACAAAAAATACCTTTATAATGCAATACAACAATTTTGTAATAAAAAAATAATCCAAACCTTAATGATGCAGCAAGATTATTTAAACATCTATTGAATCAAAAACTTTATAATAACAATTTATATATGAAATATAAGTTTGATCAAAGAACCAATATATTAATAAACCTATTTTGGATGATGCCATATCAACTTGCTCTTTGGGTCATTATTATAATGTAATTATTCATGATAATATTGCTAAAACTAATCAGTATAAAAAACTATTATTATTATTTATTTGTATTAACAATAATCATAATTCAAAATTAATTACTTAAGCTATACTCAATAATGAAACTAAAGAATCTTATTGTTGAGTATTAGAATATGTATTAAAAGCTACAAACTATATTAAATCTAATGTTTTTATAACTGATACTAATTCAACTATGCTTTCTGTTATTTCTGATATATTTCTTAATACAACTTCACTTTACTATATTTGGTATTTAAAACAAAACTTAATAAAAAATCTGAAAGAAAAATTAGGCAACAAATTTGATAGCCTTATGAAAGCTTTTTATTAATGCTGTAATCCTCTTTTAATTCCAATATTTGAACATTGCTGGCCAGAATTAATTCAAAATTACTCTAATGCAAGTGATTATCTTATAAAAAATTTGAACCATTATAAGTCTGTATAAACTAAAGCATTTATATATAGTATATTTAATGCCAGTATTCAGTTTTTACAAAGAGCTAAGGCAACTAATTCTATTATTAAAAGACAGTTAAATTATCAAAACATTAGTATTTATGATTTATTTATAGAGCTAAAAGAAAGACTTGCAACTGAAGCTTTCAATAGTACTTTTATAGATTAGAAAATATTACAATGTTTCTTTGAAAGCAATCAAAATATTAGTAATGTTTTTAAGCCTATTGATGATATTATTAAAACTTTTTTAATATTAACAAGTTTAAAAAAACAATAAGATTAAATAAATCTTAGTGCACAATATTATGCTATAATCATTTTACATGAAGATTAATATAATAAGCAGGTAAGTTAAAATTAGTATTAAAATTAGGATCAGATTTAGCATTATAGTTAGGTTTAGTATTAGAATCAGATTTAGTATTAGTTCAGATTTAGCAGTAGAATCAGGTTTACTAAAGTTAAGATTAAGATTAATATTAGAATTAAATTTAGTAATAGATCAAATTTTTTATTAAAGTCTAAATTAACATTAAAGTTGGTTTGTATATATATTAATTTGGATTTTTATTTTGGTTTTTAAATTTAGAAAATAGATAATAAATATGTTGATAATATATTTGATTATCCTCAAACTTTAACATTATATATTTTTTAACAATTTAATGATTTAATTATTATGGTTTAAAATACAGTCAATATTAATATGCCTACTTTTCTATAGTTTGTATTTTTACTTTCTAATAGCATATTTATTTGTATTTGTATGATGACTATTTCTTATAAAACATTATATCAATATTATTTATGAGTTATGGTTATATGTTTGTTAATTACATTTTATATAAGTATAATACATTCTTGATGGTTCAAAGATATGATCAACAATAATGAAATTAAATCATTAGCAATGATCTTAATTTTTTAATTTGATATTAGCAATTATGAAGTTGATATACAATCTAATTATAATACTTAAACTAAACTAAATACTATTTTATTGCTATATATAGGTATTAAAAATTTAGATCAGAACTCTGTTAATTATTAAAATATTCAAAAAAAATATTATACAAATCTAGCAAAAATCAAACAATAAACATTATATGGTAAACTTTGGAGTATTGCTTATAAAGCTACAAAAATCACTGTAAATTCTGAAGATTACAGTTTTTAGAAATACTTAATAACTATATAGATCAATCTATATATAATTCAAGTAAATCTTAATTAAATATTTCTATTAATAAGAATTAGATTATAAAAGAAAGTAGTGAAGACAACCAAATTCAAAATCTAATTAAAAAACAAGAAAAAAAAAGACCTCTAGAAAGATCAACAAAAAAATCATGTATACAGAGTAGTTTAAAAAAAAAAATTTAACTATAGTTTCTTAAAATATTGACAATAATACTTTTAATATTAGAAAATACAAATGAAGTCTTTGTAATTCATTTTCTCATACAAAAGCATGGTGTCCAAATAGGCAACTACTACAAGAACTTCATTGTAGATAACAAACTAGGTAGTAAAAAATAAGAAACTACTATATGCATGTAAGTTGTTATTTTATATATAATTATTAATAAGAAGTATATTAAGCTTAGGGTTCTTATTTTTATTTTAGCTACATAATTTATTTTAAGCATACTTGAATCAATTTACTTTGATATCTCATGTAGTTTATAAAACTATATTATAATGTAAAATTATTAATTCTAATATAAAATTTTTATAAAGTTAAAAACGATATTGTATAGTTATTATGCAATTAATTTGTATATAAATACAAGTCTTTATTATATTAATATATGACATATGTTAAGTTAGTTTTTAGTTTGTTAACTTTAAGCCAAAACAAAATAATCTCTAGCAAAACTTTAGAGTTAGTGTAGACTGAGATTATGCTGATGCTGGCTAAGAGTTTTTAATTGATTAGTTTGATTTAAATTAAGTTAAGAGTCTAGTATTATTTAAAAGTTTAGTATTACTATTATAAAAAATTTTGCCAACTATATAATCTTATTGAAAAAATTATTTCACAATTAGTTTAGAGTTAGGATCTTATTAGTAAGATGATATTTGGTTTAAAGAGTTATAGTTATAGTAAAATTTACAAGAAATTTCTTTTGTTAGTATGTAGCAAGTTTTGCATTATATGAGATCTTAAAATCTGATTTGGTAACAAAATTTTTTTACAAATAATTTAACTGCTATTAATCAAGTTAACTCAATCTAAAAACTGATTTATATAGATATGCATTATAGTTACATAATGTGTGATATTCATTTAACATGTATAACTTTTAATTATATATTATGAGCAAATTTAACCAGATGTCAAATAGCAAAACTTAAAAAATAAACTAACAAAAAACAGAAAAAAATAAAATAAAATAAAATAAAATAAAATTTGTAAAAACAATATTAAAACTTATTAAAAAAAAAAAGAAGTGTGGTAACTTAGTGAAGTAGTTAAGTTGTTAACCCTTCAAGTAGTAGATAGTAAGTTCAAAACCTATCGATAATGAAAATTTGAATAATTATTTATATAATATATAGATGATATTATGATAACAGCATTTTGTTGATCAGTTTAGATAAGATATCTGTAATATAGTTACACTAGCATAACTGGCAGATCATAGAGCATCTGCATAATGTTGGAGTTATACAGAGAAATACAAACTGGCATTGAACAGTGCAAACTCAAAATAAGTTCTTATGACTGTATAAATTCATGAACTGGAAAGCTAGAGCCTACTTGAAAAGACCTAAGTAGAGAGATAACACAAATCTTCAACAATACTATTGTAAAGGCTAAACTTAGTAAACAAATACCAATGTAGAAGAAATTAGGTAGGCAAGAACTTCAGATGAGAGGTACTACTAACCAGGTCATTAGAAGTCTTGAACCAGAGAAAAAGGACCTTGAGAGCAGATTATGAAATACCAGAAACAGGTCATAGTTCTTTTGGGCTATCTGGATTAGAAGTCTGAGGTCAAAAGCAAAAGTATACTATAAGTACTAGAGATATGCTATTAAGTCAATGCTGGGGTTTGGGTAAACTTTACAAAGGCAAACCCTGTTAACAAGAGACTAAATGTAGGTAGTTAGTTAGCAAAAGGGCTCTTTGAAGCCTTATAGTCAAGTGATATACTCTGAAATATGTAACAACTTAACAGATGTATAGACAAAAAAGTCAAGGTTAGGTTAAACAGCACTTTGGTGTATGAGAACTTGTATACTATTTGTCAGTGTAAGTATAGAAATCAGAGTGTTTAAATAAGTAATCTTCTAGTAGATTGCAAATATAGCAACTAGTGTAGAACCTAATATGCAAGTAGACTACTTAAAATAGACAACTAAAAGTTGTATATATGGCTAGTTGTAGACTCACTTTGTACAAGTTATATAATCATAATTAAAATACAATAAAGACAATTGCTGCTGATAACCACAGCCTTAGTATAAGCAAAAAAAAATTTATTTATTATAAATTTTAAATAGTTAGACAAGCAACCTACTTTTACTTAAAATAATACAATAAGTTGTATAAGTATCTTTAAAATAAATAAGTAATGCTAAACTTAATTATTAAAAACCTTTATATAATTACAAAAATAATTACAAAAATCTTAATAAACTATTAATATAATTACTAAAATAAAATACATATATAAAAAGACATAATGATATAATAAAATAGTCATGTTGTTGTTTTTTAAATAGCAGGTTTAAAGTTTAAATCTTAGTGTCAATAAAAATTTAAAATTTTTTCTATATTATAATTAACTATCTTCTACTATTAGTTAAAATAAGATACCTATTACTTATATTATACTAGCATAATTGAAAAGTTATATAGCATTTA